TGTTAGCACAGGTTTAAGGTTGGTTGGGGGGGTTTTTAAAAGGGACCTAAGGGGCAATGTTTCACATAGAGGATAGTGCATGTATGGAATGAGCTGCCAGAAGAAGCGATGGAGGCTGGTACAATTATAACATTTAAAAGGCATCTGGATGGGTATATGAATAGGAAGGGTTTAGAGGGAAATAGGCCAAATGCTGGCAAATGCGACTAGATTAATTTAGGATATCTGGTCGGCATGGACGAGTTGGACTGAAGGGTCTGTTTCCGTGCTGTACTCAATGACTCTCTGACACAAAAATTGATAAGGTGGCAAACCTTGAGGAGTATAGCTGCAAACTGCAGGAGGCTATTAAAGATCTCGTCAGGTGGGCAGAGCACTGGTGAATGGAATTCAACCCGGAAAAATGTGATGTCATGCACTTGAGGACTAACAAACCAAGGGATTACACTATGAATAGCAGGGCAGTGCAAAAGTATTGAAGATTAAAGGGACCTTGGTATGCATATCTACAGATCCCTAGAGGTAGGAGGCAGGTAGATAAGATGGTTAAGAAAGCATATGGAATACTAGGCTTTATTAATTGAGGCATTGGTAGTTATGCTGGAACTGTATAAAACGGCTGCTTAGGCAACAAATAGAGAGTTAAGTTCTCATCACATTATATGAAAGATGTGACTGCACTAGAGGTGGTGCAGAGATTTACCCGGACGTTGCTTGGGCTGGAGGGCCTGAGCTATGAGGAACAATTGGGCAGGTTGGCATTGTTTTCCTTGAAGCAGTGCAGATTGAGAAGTGACTTGGTATAGGCAAATAAACTATGGAGGCTATAGGAATGAACTTTTTCCTTTAGTACTGGGATCAATAACCAAGAAGCACAGACATAAATTAAGAGGTAGAAGACTAAGAGGAGAGTTTAGGAGAAATATTTTTCACTAAGAGTGTTGTGGGAGTCAAGATTTCACTGCCTGAAAAGGATATTAGAGTTAGAAACTCTTGTACGATTTAAACATTTTTAGATATTCATTCGCTTTGCTGTAGCCTCCAGTGCTATGGGCTAAAAGCTGGAAATAGAATTAGTGTAGTCAGATCTTTTGTTGGACAATTGAAGACAGGCTGCTGTCTCTATTCTCTCTGTCTGAAGAATTTGATACTGGGCTCCCACAGAATCAGCTGGAGAGAAAAATCATCAAGGAATCGAGAAATTTCAATAACTGCAATTTTTGTTATGACTGACGGAATCCAAGAGGACAGCTAATCAACATCAGCCTCAGGATAAAAACTTTAGCCTTAAAGACAATCAAAGGAGCAAACCAGACAAATATGATTGTGCCCCTTTGCAGTTGGCAACATTCCATTTTAACTTTGTGTTTGTGTGTGTGTGGTGTATGTGTATGCGTGTGCGAGAGTGTGTATGTGCTTGTATCTGTGTGTGTGTGCATGTATGTGCGTGCGTGCATGTATGTGCGTGCATGCATGTGTGTGCATGTGTGTGTATGCACGTGTATCTGTGTGTGTATGTGCGTGTATCTGTGTCTGTGCGTGTAAGTGTGTGTGTGTGTGTGTGTATGACTGTGTGTGTTTTTGTGAGTGATTATTGTGAGTTTGTCTGTGTGCAAGTATGAGTGTGCCTGTGTGAGTATGTGTCTGTGTGTGTGAGTGTGCATGAGTGAATGCTTGTGGGTGTGTCTGTGTGCACATGCTTCTGTGCGATTCTGTGTGTACACATGTGTGTGATTGTGAGTGACTGGGTGCACCTGTATGTGTGTGCCTCAGTGTGTGTCTGCATATGAGTGTTCCTGTGTGTAAGGGTGTCTGCATGTGAGCGTCTGTGTCCGTGTGTCTGTCTCTGTGTGAATGTCTGTGTATGTGTCTGTATGAGTGTGTATGTGTGTCTACACATGAGTTTGTGTGTCTGCATGTTAGTGAGTCTGCATTTCAGTATGTCTCCATGTGTCTGCGAGTGTGTGTGTGTGTGTTGTGTGTGTGTAGTTGTGTGTTTTTCTGTATGCATATATCCGGGTGTGTGACCCGACTGCGCTAAGGCTGATGGCTTGATATTTTTTTAATTATTTTCCAGTGTTCGACAATTAATATATCTCTTTAGCTTGGATTACCTCATTGATTGGATTCTTATTTCTTACAGCAACCTGTTATACGAAAGATATTGTGAAACTTGAAAGGGTCCAAAAACGAATTACAGGGATGTTGCCAGGGTTGGAGGGCTTCAGCTATAGGAAGAGGCTGAATCGAGTTGGGCTATTTTCCTTGGAGCATCAGAGGCTGAGGGGTGATATTATAGAGGTTTATACAATCATGAGGGGCATGGATAGGGTGAATAGCCAAGGTCTTTTCCCCAGGGTAGGGAAGGCCAAAAGTAGAGAGCATAGGTTTCAGGTGAGAGGGGAAGGAAGGGAGGGTGGTGCGTATATGGAGTGAACGCCCAGAGGAAGTGGTGGAGGCTGGTACAATTAATATTTAAAGGCGTCTGGATGGGTATATGAATAGGAAGGGCTTTGAGGGATATGGGCAAAATACTGGCAAATGGGACTAGATTTATATAGAATATCTGGTCGGCATTGGCGAGTTGGACCAAAGGGTCTGTTTCCATGCTGTACAGCTGTATGGCTCTGTGACTCTATAAAAGTAAACTCCATTTTTAGCTGGAGACAGGTGCATCCTTGGGTGAAAAAAATATGTTGCCATACTTTAATAAAACAAAGAACAGTGGGTCCTAGAAATCTGAAACAAAAACAGAAATTGCTGGAGAAACTCAGTGATCCTGCTTCTGAAGGCGAGTCATACACGAAACATTAACTCTGTTTCTGTCTCTCCACAGATGCTGCCAGACCTGCTGAGCTTCCCCTGCACTTTCTGTTTTTGTTGTGACCAGATAAGGAGGTAAACAGAGAGGGCCAGTTTACCTATACTCACCTGGGAGTAACACAATACACAGTAGTGGTCTGGTGTTTGTATTGGATTTCGACTGCTGTTACATCACCAATGGGTGTACAAATGAACAGGCTTACGATCCATGACATTCTCCCCAGATGCGGAGCCTATTCTCAGCATGTGTGTGCAATCAGCATTGGCAAGGAATAGAACAAACTGATCTCTCCTTGAAATATAAACTCTTTTTTTTTAAATTCTAATATCCCAGGAGTGCCCATTTTCATATCGTCACCTCATTTTTACAACGGAGATCAGCAATTAGTGAGTGACATAGGCGGAATGGAACCTAATACAGAAGCACATCAAACATACCTCGATATTGAACCTGTAAGTGGAAAGTACTGTTTGCTTAATATGTAATACCTAAGCCTTTTTTAAAAATGTGACATTTTATTTATTGTTTGATGGGACATGGGTGTTGCTGGCAAGACAAACATTTATTACCATCCCTAATTGCCCATGAACTGAGTGGCATGCCCAGATCATTTCAGAGAGCAGTTATTGTTTTGGATCATTGGCACGTTCAACTAGGGCATTAAGGAGGATATTGAGTGTTTACTTAAATAGAAACAAGGTTCTAGTGAAAAGGCAGGAGAACGGTGGCACTAATTTAAAATGTTCTAGATGTATTAACTGAATTTATGTGTGCTAATGTACTTGTGTATAAGTGCAATGCACACTCGTATATGTGTGTATTTGTGTGCTCATGTATGTGTGTGTACGCATGTTCACAAACATGTGTACGTGTACATATGCATGCTCACCTATGTGTGTATATGTGAGCTAATGTATGTATATGCGTGCTAATGTATGTATATGCGCATGTGCATGCTCATGTTTGTATGTGTGTGTATATGCTTGTGAATACATCTGTATACATGTGCATGCTCATGTATGTCTGTGTATACATGCTCATGTATATGAGCGTATGCATGTATGTCTATATAACGTGCTTAGGTACACATGTATGCGGGTGCATGCATGCTCATGTATACGTGTATGTGTATATATAAACTTGTGTATGTGTGTATATGCATGCTCATGTATGTGTGTATGTGTGTGTACATGTCCTAATTGTACCACGTCCCACTCCCAATCACCTCATGTGCTACCTTGCCCACATTGAGTCTCAATAGGCTTCAATGTTAAATTCTCATCCTTATTTTCAAGTCCCTCCATGGCCTTGCCTCTCTGTATGTCTGTAATCTCCGGCCTCACTACCCTCTGAGATATCTGGGATTGTCTCCTTCTGGCTTCATGAACATCCCTAATTGTAATCCTCTGCCCCATCCTCACCCACCCACCAAGCTTTCAGCTTCCCGGGCCCTAAGCTCTGAAATTTCCTCTCGAAATCTCTCTAATTGTGTCATCGCTTTCCTCCTTCATTAGCAACCCTTAAACCTCTTTGTTTGCTGCCCTAATGTCTCCCAAGTGTCACATTTGGTTTGATAACACAGCAAGTTATCTTGTGACACTTGACTTCATACAGGCTCTGTATAAGTACAAGTTGTTGTAATGCATACAGATAAAGATCAAATGTATGACTTCAAACAGTGGACTAATATAGTTCTGCACCTAAATCCTATTATCCTGTGCCCTTAAACCAAGTATCATGTAAAGGTGACTTTTGGTGTTGATTTTCCACAAGAGATCGCCTAATGTACATCCTCTCTGAAAGCTTTACTTGCTGTTGCCATAATTTGTAGCCATCTTAGATTACTATTTGACATTGAGAATAATTACATAAACGAGGTTAATTCAACAACTCTTGCAGATGCCAACCCTTGGGTTTCCTGTGGCAGCAGCCATGTCCCTAGGTGTCCACAAAACCTTGAACCACAGCAAGAGAATTGAAATAGAGACCCATCTACCTGAGATAATTGTGTGCTTTCATTCCTTCCAGATGACTGGTATCCCTGTCAGAGCAGCAAAGAGAATGCAGATCAATATTCATGTAGAGTCCGTGAAGGGCGTTGTGTAAGTGACTCCTTTTATTCTCTCGGATCCATTATTTTAGGGTGAATGTAAGTCCTTCCCAAATAGGCTGAGAGATTTGCTGAGAATATCCACATTCCTTGAATATTTCCTTGAATTCAGGGACCGAACTAAAAGAGCTTATATTCAGTAAACCCTTCAGGTATACTTGTCACACTCTCCCCAAATGTTTAACACAGTGAAGAAACCATTGAGGCACAAGGAGACAGATTCTGTTGGAGTAGGGCATCTCATAATTTTGCCTATTAGGGTCATTTTTATTCATTCACAAAATGACGCTGGCTGGCCAGAATTTATTGCCTGCCCTTAGCTGCCTTTAAGAAAGTAGTGGTGAGCTGCCTTCTTGAACTGCTGCAGTCTGCTGTAGGTGGACCCCCAATGCCATAAGGGAAGGACCTCCAGGATTTTGTCCCAGCGACAGTGAATGAGCAGTGATATATTTCCAAGTCAGGATGGTGAGTGGCTTGGAGGGGAACTTGCAGGGGGTGGTGTTCCCATGTATCTGCTGCCCATATCCTTCCCACTGGGAGTGGTCATGGGTTTGGAAGGTGCTGTCTGAGGAGTCTTGGGTGAATTTCTGCAGTGTGTCTTGTAGATGGTACACACTGCTGAAACTGTGCAGGGATTGAATGTCAATGGTGTGGAAAGGGTTCCAATCAAGTGGACTGCTTTATTCTGACAGCCTGCAGCTGGAATCCTGCTGCCTTGGGCTTTGAAGATTGGCTTTTTGAATAGCATAGAAACATAGAAGATAGGAGCAGAAGGAGACCATTCGGCCCTTTGAGCCGGTTCCAACATTCTTCACGATTATGGCTGATTGTCCAACTCAAAAGCCTAATCCTGCTTTCTCGCCATAACCTTTGATCCCATTCACCCCAAGTTCTATATCTAGTCACCTCTTGAACACATTCAATGTTTTAGCATCAACTACTTCCTGTGGTAATCAATTCCACAGGCTCATCACTGTTTGGGTGAAGAAATGTCTCCTCATCTCTGTCCTAAATGATCTACTCTGAATCCTCATACTGTGACCCCTGGTTAGAATCATAGAGTCACAGTCAGTTCTGGACACACCAATTATTGGGAACATCCTCCCTGCATCTACCCTGTCCAGTCCTGTTAGAATTTTATAAGTCTCTGTGAGACACCCCCTCATTCATCTGAACTCTAGCGAAAACAATCCCGACCCAGTAAATCTCTCCTCATACGTCAGACCGTCTATCCCCGGAATCAGCCTGGTAAACCTTCACTGCACTCCCCCAAGAGCAAGAGCATCCTTCCTCAGAAAAGGAGACCAAAATTACACAAAATACTCTAGGTGTGGCCTCACCAAGGCTCTGTACAACTGCAACAACACATCCCTGCTAAGACCTTGGTCCTTTTTGAATGAATATCTGTTCTTTGCTTTTCTTGCTATTTTTCATGTTACTGTCCTCCTGAGTTCAGAATTCCTGTTAATTCAAAGTGTAGATAGGGATTAGCGACAAGGAGCAAGACAAAGCCGAAAACAAGCTTTTATCAATATTCTAGTAAATCACTGGTAGCATGGCCAACAGACAGTTAATAAATATATGTTGTTTATTCGGAATTATACTGTACAGAACATGTCCTTCTGCTCACTGAGTCTGCATCAACAAAAAACCAAGCTAACTCTACACTGATCCCATTTTCCAGCACTAGACTCATAGCCCTGATTGTTATGATATTCCAAGTGGTCATCCAAATACTTTTTAAAGGTTGTGAGGTTTCCTGCCTCAATGACACTTACAGACAGTGCATTCTAGACCCACCACCCTCTGGGTGAAAAAGCCTTTCCCCGAATTCCCTCTAAACCCCCTGCCTTTCACCTTAAAATTTTGCCCCTTATTGTTGACCTTTTAACTGAGGAAAACAGCTGCTCACTGTCCACCCTGTCCATGCCCCTCATAATCATATCCACCTCTACCAGGAATTTGAGATTTGAGGATAACCACAAACACCCAGAGATCTCTCTGTTCTTCTGAGATTGCCAGTGTCCTGCTATTCCTTGACTATTCCCTTGAATCTCTGGATTATTGGGGGCATTCTAGTTTCTTCCTCCTCATTAGATAATGAGCCTAGCAGCTTCTGGTCTGTCTATATGGTGACCTTTCAACTGATGATATAATCCAACAATTTCTCATGTAACATTGAGAGCTTCTTTCTCTATGACCACGCACTTCCTCTCAGTGTCTGATAATGCCCAAGATGCACTGAAGACAGGCCTATGATACCCATCTGGTTGTTCTTGAGACAGTAATGCCTCAGCTACACAGATGAAACATTGGCTGCAATTGTGTTCGGCAGTGAAGGGTCAAAATGAGCTAAGGCGCCCAATGAAAGCAGAAAATCTCCTTGTTCCTTTTCAAATGCTTGTTCCTGATGTGAATTCCAACACCATGCTTGAGCTTGCTTTAATTGCTGTTTGAAGTGGACAGTATCACATCCTAGGGCAAGCAGAAATTTCTCCAGTTGATTGACCATACCAAGGAAACGTTGAAGACTTGAGATGAAAGCAGAGATTGGGAATATGCTAATGGCTCTTGTCTTTTTGCGTGTCTACCATTAACACACTTAATATCACAAGTGTGCCTTGGGTAATGAATACACATTTTTCAAGAATTCACACTTTTCCTTTTCTTGACAGTTTAAACCCACTCAAACCCTCAGCTCATATTCTTTAATGGATTCAGCGCAGACTAGAATGTCTAAAACCATTATTTCCAATATCTGCTTTACCATGTACTTGAGTGTTGTCTTCAAATTTCTCTCGACTTTTAGTTCAATCCCTCCTGGACCACATACCTCGATTATTCTTGGCCACAGGCATTGCAGATGTAATTATGCTTTGTTGTCTGATAAAACTAATACACTCGCTCCAGTATCTAGTTTAAAGTTAGTTGTATGGCCATTAACATATGTATATTCAAAGCTGACATGGACGGAATTTTAAAAGCAGTAAGGGAACCAAGGGTTTTCAGGAAATGACAGGGAAGTAAAGTTGAGGAGTATCATAGCTAAAGAAGAATCATACCAGACTTGAAACGTTAACTCTGTTCCTGTCTCCACAGAAGCTTCTTCAGCTTTCTTTGTGTTAGTGCCAGATCAGCCATGTGTACAGCATGGAAACAGACCCATCGGTTCAATTCGTCCATGCCGACCAGATATCCTGAATTAAACTAGTCCCATTTGCCACCATTTGGCCCATATCCCTCTAAATCCTTCCTATTCATGTCCCCATCCAGATGCCTTTTAAATGTTGTAATTGTACCCGCCTCCTTACATACATGCACCATCCTCTACATGAAACATTGCCCCTTAGGCCCATTTTAAATCTTTCCTCTCTCACCTTAAACATATCCCCTCTAGTTTTGGACTCCTGCACCCTGGGAAAAAGACCTTGGCTATTCACCCTATCCATGCACCTCATGATTTTATAAAATTCTATAAGGTCAACCTCAGTCTCTGACGCTCCAGTGAAACTTAGCCCCAGCCTATTCAGCCTCTCCCTATAGCTCAAACTCTCCAACCCTGGCAATATCCTTGTTAATCCTTTCTGAACCTTTCAAGTTTAACAACATCCTTGCTATAGCTGAGAGACCAAAATTGAACACAGTTTTCCAAAAGTGGCCTAGCAAATGTCCTGTACAGCCACAACAATGACCTCCCAACTGCTATCCTCATTGAATAGCAGAGCAGACTTGATGGGCCAAATGGTCTTATGGTCTTACATATGTGTACTTCAGAAAGCATGAATGGGGTCTTTGATCTCATCAAGAAAATAATGTTGTTCCTCTTCTGGTGGAGATTTTTCAACTTCATTAAATAGCCGAATATGAGACGATGTTTCCTTTTGAACCTTTGAAAGTAGACGTTTTGCTTTAGCATATCTTCCCAAACTGGTCAATTATTTAGCAGAGAAAGGATCCTGCAATGTTTACAGTGCACTCTTTGTCGCTATGGATCTATATGGTGCCACAGCACTGGCAGGGTTTTATGGCATCGTGCACTTTCCCTCGAATTTCTCATGCTTCTTTCACAGTCCTGTGCTTAAGGAACTTTGCAGTTTCTAGAGGTTCCCTGAGCCAATGCTTTTCTTCAAATCTCAGGAATACCCTGTTCCATTTTTGGACTTCTGTTTGTCTCACCCGCTGTATTGCCTTTTCTAAGGTCAGGACTTTTTCTGGTTTACCTGAAATTTTACACTTTTCTTCCAGTATTTGCAACTTTCTTACACTGAAATGCATTTGTTAATTATATGCCCATTCTTCAAGTTTACTTATATCTCTGTGTAACTTGTCACTATCATCTTCAATATTAAACACCTCTCCCAATTTTGGTGCTCTTGGAAAAAATGCAGAAACTGCGCAGTTCATTTAAAATTCTATATCAGTAATGTATTCACAAATATTTCACAACACCGATTCTAATGCATTGTTTTCAATTCATTTATTTGCAGCCAAACTAGTCAAATGCGGACAATGATTTTACCAGTCATCTTTGTAAATGAGGTAGGTTGCATGTTTTGTTTTGGGGTTGGATGATAAAGAGGCATCAGGGCACAAAGTTTGAGTTGGATGTAGGGTTTTGGTGAGGGGTCAGGCAACAGGGATGTGTCTGAATGCACACAGAGAGAGAGAGAGAGGAGAAGTCAAAACTGAGAATGATATGGGCTTTGGTAGCAGCAGGAATAAGTATGAGGAATAGCCACTGAAGTGGGAGAAAGCATTCTTTGTGTGAACCAAAGTCAAGATCAATGTCAAACAGTGCAGCAACATTACACTATTCCTGATGGATTAAATGAGTACAGTGGAAAATTTACAAGTCACCACTTACGGCGCCATCTTAGGTACAGGGTACCCAGGTACAGCTTCTTCAGTACAAGTTCTTAGGGGAAAAAAATAGCAAAATAAAGAAATAAAACATCCAGTATTGCAGATCATAGGAATAAATTAGAAAATAGATTGAAGTTTAGAACAACACTCCTTCCAATCCAGTCCACGCTGGTACCCAGCCTCCAGTCCACACTTTGACTCCAGACAACACTGGGCTTCACTTTGGCTTCATCTTGAGGCTCACAAGGCTGGAAGTCACCATTGACTGCTGAAAGATCACTGCACCAGGCTGACAGACTGCCATGTGGTGCCGAGAGGACACCACACTGGGCTGGGAGACCACTTCAAGCAAGAAGGAACCAAAACACAAAACAGAAGAAAACAAGAAAAGCAAATGGGCAGAGTGGTTGAGCTCCAGCTGAAGCTTCCCTCTCTGCTGCCATCTTGAAACACATGGACCATCCACCTCCTGTTCGTTGTTTAACTCAGAAAAGTGCAACATATTGAACAATGGCGTGGGATCGTTTACACCCAACTTAAGGGGTGACTAACATGCACTTCCAGCAATGCAGCGCTCCCTCAGTACTGCATTTAATGCTCAACCTATTTCTTCTTTCAATATCATCATCGTCACACTGTTACTCATGGAAATCACCCTTTCGCTCTCGAATTGCCTTCAACCACATTCCCACTTCCAATAATCTTTCCAGGATTATGAATAGTTGGTGCATTATCTAAATTAAATTCCATCTGTCGCTCCTCGGCCCATTGGTCCATCTAATGAAGGTCCCGCTGTACTCTGAGATAACCTTTTTCACTGTCCGCTACACCAATTTTGGTAAAAACTGAAAGAACTGCAGATACTATAAATAAGGAACAAAAACAGAAGTTGCTGTAAAAGCTCAGAATCTGTGAAGAGAAATCAGAGTTAACGTTTCGGGTCTGGTGACCCTTCCTCCAGAACCAATTATGGTGTCATCTGTAAACTACTAACGATTTCTCCTATATTCACATCTAAATAATTTATATAAATTATGAAAAGCAATGGGCCCAGCCCCAATCCCTGCAGCACACTGTTGGTCACAGGCCTCCAGTCCAAACAACAACTCTCCACCACCATCATTCTTTGTCTCCAACCTTCAAGTCAATTTTGCATTCAATTGGCCAGTTCCTGCCTTCTCCAATCTTCTTTGTCACTTCTTCAAAAAAAAAACTCAATACAGCTAGTGACACATGTTTTTCCATACACAAAGCCATGTTGACCATCCCTTGCCTTTCCAAATGCATGTAAATCCTGTCTCTCACAATCTGCCCTAACAACTTGCCCACCAGTGACATCAAGCTCACCAGTCTATAGTTCCCTAACTTTTCCTTATCACCTTTCTTAAATATGGCACCACATTAGCCATCCTCCAGTCTTCCTGCACCTCACCTGTGGCTTTTGATGATAAAAAAAAGTAAGTAGCCCAGCAATCACTTCCCTAGCCTCCCACAAAGTTCTACGATACGCCTGATCAGGTCCCAGGGATTTATCCATCTTTATGTGTTTTAAGATACAAGATTTGGAATGAGGTTGATGTAAAAAAGAGCCTTGGTAATCTTGTGGTTCTGCTTTCTCTCTCATTTGTCCAACAGAATGCTTTAATAGATGGCAAATCAGCAGCGAAACTGAAATCAGCACTTTATAAAATAAATGTGGTGACTTACATTCCTTATATCTTCTTGTGCATTGGAATCTTACTTTGCCTGGCTGCTCTTATCCTAGCCTTTGTTGCGTGGAGACATAAAGACAATAAGGTAACTTATTGCTGAAGTTATTTATGTGTCATATCATTGAAGAAGCTTTGTTATTAATTAGCCTGTGATGAAGGTAATTTACTACATCAGTTTATTGACAGGTTGGCTGTTAAAAGCAAAGAGCACTTGACTTGAGATTTCAAAATCACATTCTAAGTGATTATTTGAAGGTCAATAATATTTTAAATATTGAAAATTTAACATCTTTACTGAATTCAAAGACTGAAGACCTAATTTGTTCCTTTGTTGTTGTTTTAGGATTTTACACCAGTAATTTTAAAGCTTCACATGTCGAAACACATTGAAGTGATGGAGGAGAGCCCAGGCACATGTACTGCTTCAATCAACCAGATACTAAGTTCAAGAATTTAGTGATGTTTCTGACATATGGGACATATTACAATGTAACAGATAAAAATGGAGTTTTTGACTGACTAACTGCACAATGATAGCACCCATTCACCAATAAATTTGAACTATGGCCCTTTAAGTTGTCCAGACATTGCTACATTGGTACTAACAGAGGACATGTTGGGATGAGTCACAAACTGACACACAAACATGTGAATTAGGAACAGAAGGTGGTCATTGGCTATTCAGTAAGATCATGGCTGATCTGATTGTAACCTCAAATCACAGTCCCACCTGCCCACTGATACTCCTTGACTTTATTGTTGGTCAAGAATCCCTCTACCTCTGCTGTAAAAATATCCAACGACCTTGCCTCCACCACTCCTCCCTAGAGATGGAGGGGTGCGGTTCACAAACTCACAACCCTTTGAGAGAGAGAATTTGCCCTCATTGCTGTCTGAAATGAGAGACCCCTTATTTTCAAACTGTGGTTCTGAGTGATGTGGGCTATGGCAAAATGTGTGGCAAAATCAGACAAGTCCAGCGAGGCCATCTCAACACTATGATCATCTCGCTCCATCTTCCATGCATTTAAGAAGCAGCTTAGTGAGATTCTCATTGGTCTGCAGTTTGATGACAACTGACGCTCCCATTATTGATTGTCAAACACATTGTTAATGTCAAAACTCACAGTTATAGATTCATACAGCGCAGAAAAGGCCCTTCAACCCATCGAGTCTGCACTGACAATAACTACCATTGAAGGCGCACTAATCCCAATTTCCTGCACTTGACCCATATCCTTAAATGTTTTGATATTTCACGTGATCATCCAAATATTTTTCAAAGGTAGTGCATTCCAGATTCCCACCACCCTTGGAGTGAAAACGTTTTTTTTCTCAACTCCCCTCTGAATTTCCTGTCCCGTACCTTAAAACAATGTCCCCTCGTGATTGACCCCTCAACCATCTGAAAAATGTTTACATTACCCCCACATTTTCATTTGTATCATTTGTGCATATAACAAACTATAATTGTCCCAGTACTGATCCTTGTGGCACACCACTGGACACAGGCTTCCAGTCACTGAAATAGCCTTCTACCACTACTCTTTTGTGTCCTATTATTAAACCAGTTTCTGATCTTTCTTGCCAAGTTTCCCCGAGTTCCATGTGCTTTGACCTTCTCAATCAGCCTCCCATATGGGACCTTGTGAAAAGCTTCATCTCATTAATATTCAGACTCCCAACCTACCAAACTCATCAGGCAAGCTTCATGTCAGAAAATCTTGACAATAAAACCACAGCAAGTACCTGGTGCATTCAGCTTGCCACTGGCTGTGGACAACCTGCATGTTGGACACTGGGCACTGACTTCCAAGGGCATGCTACATTGGCATCCGACATGCGCCAGACTCTACAAACCTTCATGGCACATCTCCAATCCATATACAGGACACTTCGGCACTTCAGTGCTGCACCAGCAACTTTCATTGTAATGCTGCAGCAAGGACACTGGGCCCTCAGGGACACACAGCCAGCTCATGGACTGGACCAGGCAGCATCTCCAGGCTGTTCGCTCGCTCTTGTAGTGCTTACTCACTCTGAGACTACCCAGATGATCACAGCATCCATGCCTCGCATTGCCTTTTTGAGCTTTGCCCCTCAGACAAGAGATACCAGGTTCATATTACTGCTGTCTTGACATGCTATTTAGTATAGACACAAAGCCTGAAAGCCTGTTATGTATGTCAGTAGGCCGCAGGCAGGTATAGGGAGATAGCCTTCAGTCAGGAATTCGTGGTGTAGTAAGTCAGGTGCAGCCTCCAATACCAGTCCAGGCCCTGCCTGGGGCAGTCAGGGTCCATGTTGGAGTTTGACTCAGTTGTTTCACTCTTGGAATAGGAACATGAACGCATTTCAGCAGCTTTCTTCATAACTGAGCACCCTCTCAGGGTCCATTCTGACCATCCTGCACAGGGAAGGGGTTTGAAAAGGTGGCCTAAAAATAATCTGTTCCATTACCAAATTGGTAGGAAAATCACATCCAGTGGGTTAAGAAACTTGTGGTCTGTAAACCAAAGTCAAACTCAATCTGAGAACCTGGAATGATTAAACCCTTATGGGCAATGAGAAAACAATTGCCCAGAGCAAAGAACTGCCCTCCTTGCATGTGAATTCAGGCACCTAAACATTGACGTTGTGGCCCTGCAGTAGACCCAAAGAGCAGGCGAAGGGCAGGCATGGGAAGAAGGTGGTGGTTGGACCTTCTTCGAGCAAGGAGAACATAAGGATCATCCTATGACGCATGGAATTGGATTTGTCATCAAGACAAGCTTGTCCACTGACTCTCAGAGTTCACTGTTGGCTTCAAAGATCACCTGATGATTCTTTGTCTACAACTTGTCAAGAACCAGCAGACAACACTAATGAGTGCCTGTGCTCCACACTTGGTGCCATAGTTAAGTGAAAAGAAGGCTCCTACTGCACCCTGGATACCATACTCATGACATGCCCCAGGAAGATAAATTATCCTTCAGGGACACTGCAATGTGAAGGTTGGAAAAGCTGCTCAACTCTGGAAAGGAACCACTGGAAAGCAAGAAGTTGGGAATTGCAATTCCAATGGGATCCTTCTGCTCACCAAATCTGTGGAACATCAGCTCGTCATCACCAATGCACTCTTCCACTGAAAAGACAAATTCAAGATTTCTTGGAGGCATCCACGATCAAAGCTCCGGCACATAATCAAGTGTGTTATTATTTGATCCCAAGACCTAAAGGATGTCCTCATTGTCAAAGTGATGACCAGTGCATATGACTGCTGGGTAGACCACTAGCCCTTCTGCTCCTCAGTGTCCATCAATTGCCACCAGAGATAGCTTAAGTTGAAGGAATAATTCAAAGAAAAGCTCAATGTTAAGCAGCTTCAAGAGCCAAGCAGATGAGCGAGCGTCCAACAAGGACTTCACCAAAATCTCCAAAGAGTTAATTTTAATGGAGTGGAGAGAATCTGGAAAGAGTTGAAGACAGCTATCATCTTATGCCATGAAGAAACCATCAGCTACAAGACCAGGAAACACCAAGAGTGGTTCGATGAGAATGACCACATCATCCAACACCTTATGACAAGAAGAGGAAAGCTCCCCATGCCAATGCAAAGAGGACAACTCATCAAACAGCAAAGGTGGAGTTACAAAGAAGGTCTTGGGAAGTCAAGAACCAATAGTGGACTGTGAAACCTAAGCAGCTACAACTTCCTGACAAGCATGGCACCTGAGGTTCTTCAGTACCATCAATATATCGCAATATATGGACTAAACGCCTTTGGCCTCAAATCGGTGTGACATAAGGATAGAACCCTTTTGAGAGACAGGCAAAACATCAACCTCCAATGGAGAGAACATTTTAAAGAACTCCCAAACCAGATACAATCATTGATGAGGACATCTATGCGGAAATCCCCCAACTCACCACTAAAGATGATCTTGGATTCCCACGCAGTGTGATAGAATTTGAAGCTGACAATACTCACATGAAGAATGGAAAGCTGCAGGAGTAGACTGGATTCCAGCAGAGATTTTCAAACTCGGAGGAGCTGAGCTTATCTGTCATGTCTATAGACATGGACATGATTTTCACTGCTAGACAATTCTAAGAGAAACTCCAGGAACAACACCAGCCACTCTACATGGCCCATATCGATCTGACCAAGTCTTTTGACTCAGTCACTTGGGAATTGCTATGGAAGATGCTGTCAAAAGCCGGCTGTCCAAAGAAATTCATCAACATCCTCCATCTTCTCCACACAAAATGTCAGCAATGGTCCTCACCGATGGTAATATGGCAGAATCATTTGAGGTCAAGACAGGGGTCAAGTACGTATTTATCAATGCCCCACCATTTTCTCCATCTTCATCGCACCATTCTTCATCTTGTCAAGAACAAGCTTCCCAGTGGGGTAGGCACATAGGATGGACCGAAAACATTTCAACATCAACCGGTTGAAATCCAAGAAAACAAAACAACACTGACCTCGCTTGTGGATGTTCAGTATGCAGGTGACAATGTCACCTACGTTCTCTCTGAAGAGAAACTTCAAGCCTCGCTTAATGTCTTCGTGCGACTATACGGAAGTATTGGTCTCAGCCTCAACCTCGAGAAGACACAAATCCTTTACCAACCCACCCCTCCATTAAGATCAAAGGAGAAATCATCCGAAACATGCGACAGTTCCCCTAGCTGGGAAGCTACCTCTCATCTAAGGTTGACATTGATGGGGTGATTCAACATCACATCTAATTTATGAATGCTGCCTTCAGACACCTAGGAATGAGAATCATTGATGACTGTTACATCCGTTTTGATAACAAGATCCTTGTCTATAAGACAGTCATCCCTTCTGATTGTTTTATATGGTTCCAAAATTTGGATTATGTATAGACACCACCTCAAAGCCCTTGATGTTTGAGATGGATTCTCTGCATTAGCTGGGAAGACAGGCATACTAACATCAATCTCCTTGAAGGAGTCAATAGCATAGGCCATTGATCTAGGTCATGATCAACCAAAATTAACTCTGCAGGACTGTCCATGTGGTTAGGATGAGATTTCACTGTCAAAGTAAATCTTCGCCCAGCTCAAAGAAGACACTTGAATGAAAGGGGGACAAAACAAGCATTCAGACTCCCTGAAGGCATCCCTCAAAAAATATAACATAGATGTCAATATGTAGGAAGAGATAACAAGGTGTAGAGCTGGATGAACACAGCAGGCCAAGCAGCATCAGAGGAGCAGGAAGGCTGATGTTTCGAGCCTAGACCCTTCTTCAGAAATGGGTGAAGGGAAGGGGATTCTGAAATAAATAAGGAGAGAGGGGGAGGCGGATAGAAGATGGACAGAGGAGAAGATAGGTGGAGAAGAGACAGACAGGTCAAAGAGGTGAGGATGGAGCCAGTAAAGATAAGTGTAGGTGGGGAGTTAGGGAGGAGATAAAACAAGCTTCAAAATCTCCCCTCCCCCTACTGCATCCCAAAACCAGCCCAGCTTGTCCCCGCCTCCCTAACCTGTCCCTCCTCCCACCTATCCCCTCCTCCCACCTCAAGCCCCACCCCCATCTCCTACCTACTAACCTCATCCC